TTGTTGTAATTATAAGTATTAATTGTGGATTAATGGCTCAACATTAGTGCTCGCGTAACCGCTATGTCCTAATTATTGCAATTAATTGTGGATTAATGGCTCAACATTAGTGCACGTGTAACCGTTATGTCCTAATTGTTGCAATAATTGTGGATTAATGGCATAACCGACGAGTTCATGTCCCTTCAGATTTTTGCAGTTATTTTCCCTTGTCTATAAATATACATGTCTTCTTAGTTCAAACGAGAGATAGAGAAAGAAATTCTCGAAGTACTCCAAAAGCATATCTTGAGTTTTCTCTTCAACAATATTCCTCAAAGTGTGCCGGTTTCGAGAAATGTTCGACATAGTCCTGTTCGTATAGTGCTGATACAAACAGGTTCAAGGTGTTGTATCTTGGGAGGTATAGTTCGTGAAGCTGCTTAGTACCGTTGGCAGGAACTAATCGCCTTAAGGAAATTAGGTTAGCCGTACCTTACCTCCTGTTTTATTTTGTTATCAATTTCTCGAATTTATTCTAGTTTCAACAAACAGTGTTACGTATGTTCCTCCAATATGTAAGAATTTTTCCAACAGTCCTCATTGCTTAAATGCATGAGTTCTCTTTGAAGCCAAGAGGTCTTGAGCATGATCTGCTTTCGAAAATGTTTGATAGAGGCCAAAGATCTACAGTTAGATTCTCTCATATTCAAGTCGCTGATCATGACATGTGTGGACAAATTGCGACTCGTCGGGATTCTTGATCATGACATGTGTGGACAAATTGCGACTCGTCGGGATCAGTTCATTAGGGCCCGTTTGGCAACTTGCCAAACAGTAAAAATTTCTATTCTTTTGTTCTCAAAATCAGTTTGGGAACAGAGATCCGATTGTTAAATTTTTTGTGCCCAGGTACAATTTTACAAAAAATTGTTCCCAGAATCAGTTTTGGAATAGAATTAAGAAGCAAAAAAAAGAAGTTTCTTGATTCTGGAACAATTTTTCCATTTCTGATTCTTCTTGATTTTTTTCTTTTTTCTTGGTTTGTTGTTCTTCTTCTTCCCGGCCTGCAACCCACCTGCTGCTGCCTACCTCCGGCCGGCTGCTGCCACAGGCCAGGGCCGGCGAGGGTAACTTGCGGCCTCACCATGGTTGGGCGAGGCTCGACCTCGCCCAGATCTGGCGATGGCGAGGTCGGCCTTGCCAGATTTGGCGAGGTTGGCGGCGAAGGCGGCAGCGAGGGCCGCGATGCCCTCGCCGGTTGCTGGCGCCGGCGATCGGCCATGGCCAAGGAAGGGAAGGAAAAAAAAAAAGAAAAAAAAGAAACGAATATTAGAAAATTCAAAATATTATTAAAATATTATTAATAAAAAGAAATTTTGTGTAGTTACCAAACCCATTTCTATTCTTTTTCTATTCTAAGAATAGAAATTTTGAGCAGTTACTAAATGCCTTCAAATGCTTAGAAATTGTTCTCGGGTACGGAATCAAAAGGAATTATTTTTGAGCAAAATCTATTTCCGGGCACAGAATGGTTGCCATGCGCGGCCATTGATATGGCAAGTTGTTTGATTATGATGAGCACCCACCACTGAAGACAGTGGAGACTAAACTCAGAAGCCATTTGTTTTTTGCCATTAAAGAAAACGACAACAATTTCCCCAATTGTATACCAAGATATAAATTCCCAACTGAAAAGAAGTTCTGATTTTGAAGAAACAAATCAAAACTCCACCTGCCACCAAACAATGGGGCCTCGCTAGAGGAAAAATGAGGGTAGTCTTAGTCTTGGAGTAATTATAGTTCACATCAAAGGTCCAATCTTTTATTGTTCAACAGGGTAAAAATTCCACCTACTGTTCTAAAAAAAATTGAAATATTTTATAAAATGTGTGGTTTAATATATATATGTATATATATGTATGTATGTATGTATGTATGTATGATATCACTACTCCTCACGCGTAGGCCATCTACACGTATGAAACATGAATTTTGTCCAATAATGTATCAATGTCGTCCATGAATTTTAAATTTTTTGATTATCTCCCTGAACATCAATGTGAATATAAAGTCCATGGTGGTAAATCATGTCACGTACATACAAGTCAATTTGTGAGCCGCAACATTAAGTCGCATCTTCCATTATCAATAATCGAAAGGCTCACTTCAACTTCAAATTAGAATAAAGAATTTCACCGAATCACCTCTTTGTGAATAGCATATGAAAGATAAGATCGAGCGATGTATTATTGACTTTATATACATTAGGGAAACAAATGTGCCGACCCTTGTCCATCGGAAGACTCATTCACGCCGAAATATCGTCGAATCCCATTATGTCATTAGGCGCGGAAATTGCGGAAAACATCTTTAGACGACTCGAGCGTGACTTCATTCACTAAATTATAAATTGATATTGATTGATAGTTGCCATTTGCCAAGGTCACTCTCAAAGCGAGTTGCTCTGTATTTTATGGCCTCCAAAACGGTTGACAATCGTCAAGCGATTTATCCTGTTTAATAGAAAAAAAATAAATTAATTAAACGATTAGAAAATGAGTCGACTATATATATATATATATATATATATATATATATATTATGAATGCATGTTTATGTTAGTTAAAATTTTCTTTCTCATGTAAACCAATCCTTACACGAGCTACATATAGAAGACACGAACGTAATTGTATTAAACAGAAAATCGAAGACGTGGAAACTTGTGGGACGAACATAAGAGAAAGTGTTGGGATAACAACTTGACCCATTTGATGTTAAAAAAGATCTTTTACAGGAATGTTGGCCAGAGATTTCTTGTAACAATACTAGTAGGATCTGTGCTTCGATATCGCGTTAGATAAATGGCTTTTTTCTTTCCAAATCCTAAATTGTTAGAAAATGGATCGAAAACATGTGCAACATACTTTTTATGGTTTGATTAACTTTTGGTCCTCTCTTTTTTAATAATATTTTTGCTGCTAGAACCACCATTGTCTCCAGTTCAAAGCGTAAGCGTCAACCCATATTTTAATCAATCGCACCAAGGTCATTCACACATCCTCTTTCATCTCCAAGTTGGACGAATTGGGTATAGTTTGGGCCGGTAGAGCATCAACTGGGCATGAATTTGAGCTTTATGATAATGCAAGTGAATGAATAAATTAAGGCAAGAAATACCAACTTATTTGATTATAAAATAGTAATTTGTTTGACTCAAAGATTCAGCTGTAGCAAAGGCAAGCTAGTGGTCATCGCCACAACTTGCCTCTACAATAACCAATAGGGCCACACTGCATTCACGCATGCAGACACTGGAATGAGGAGATTCACCCATCGAAAGTCAATTTAATGAGGGGCAGTTGCAATGAGTTATTGAGTAGCAATTGGGGGCTACCTCCTAAATATTATTTTGCATATCAATGGATTTTCTAATTTAATTTGAGTAACCATCTCCGACAACGACCCAAGCTAGAATACGAATACGAATAATCAAGCGAATACATGTTAAGATAGATTGTGGTGGTGTTAAGTAAACAAAACAAATGAAGAGCGAATGTTTCGGTTTAAAATTTTATCATCTTAACCGGGCAGACATTGAAATAACGAAATTTTCCTCCGTTTTTATACATTTAAGCATACTTAATTACATGTACCCGGAAAACTATTTGTCTAAACTTGTTATGGCAACAAAGAATCTATATTTGGGGTTGCACAATTCATACTGCAAAGACGACGCATTACATTCTCTCATGCAATTATTAAGATAGTGTGGATCGATCCAAAGATGAAAGCTATCGATTTGGCTTGAGTTGGCTCAAACTTATAATTCAATCTTGTTTAGCTTCACTTTTCTTGAAATTGTATTCTTGCGTTCCGATTTGAGCTGGTATCCAAACGGAGCCGGATCACTACCTTACTTGTCCCTCGTATCTATTAAGGTGGGCTTTGTCGTCAACCCGAGAATGCGACGTGATTAACAAAGCAAGTGCGCTTTCCAATTAGATTTGCTCAAGAGCTACACTTAGGCGCGTTTGGCAACCGGCCAAACAGCAACTATTTCTATTCTTTTGTTCCCAGAATCAGTTTTGAAACAGAAATCCGTTTGGTAAATATTTTGTTTTTCTTCTTCTTCTTCTTCTTCCTGGCTTGTAGCCAACGAGGGCGTTGCGGCCCTCACCGACGAGAGCAACGGTTGGACCCTCGCTACCTGGGTGAGGGCCGCCTTCGTCGGATCTGTGTGGGCGACCCTCACCGCCGCCCTTGCCAAATTCGGCAAGGGCCGCCCTCGACGACCTTGGCGAGGGTTGCCCTCGCCAAATCCGGTGAGGTGGCGAGGATCCAGACCTCGCCGGCTCTGGCCAAGGAAAGGGAAGAAGAAGAAAAATAAAAGAAAAATAAAAAGAAAGAAATATTAAAAATTCAAAATATTATTAAAATATTATTAATAAAAGAAATTTTGTGCAATTACCGAATACATTTTTGTTCTTTTTTTAATTCAAGAATATAAATTTTGGGCAGTTACCAAATACGTTCAAATATTTAGAAATTATTTCCGGGCACGAAATCAAAAAAAATTATTTCTGAACAAAAATTATTTTCGAGAACAAAATAATTGCCAAACGTAATCTTAGTTTGGAGGGTCACAGAAATAATAATTAAAATGAAGGAGTCAATTGCGATGACAGAGTTCGTCAGGCCTCTTCGATTTTGCACCTGCCTCAATTCACACACTCATTTCCGTTGACGCAGCTTGGCTGTGATCCACAGTTCTGGTTCGTCATCTTCACCACGCTGCTCTCTCTCTCTCTCTCTCTCTCTCTCTCTCTCTCTCTCTCTCTCTCTCTCTCTCCAAGTGCAACATCTAATGCACACCAACTGGCTACTTGGCTGATACACGGGCTTTGAGAAGCAAAGATATAGCCCCTTGTTTTTGTTTCCCTCTAATGCGGTGCCTGCTACCATAAATTGACGACCCATTTCGCCATTTCTTCTCGCAAGCTTCTGTCGCAGAGACAGAGAGAGAGAATGGGGCGGAACGAGAAGGGAGACGCCAAACTGCGAGGCGATCGTGATCATCACACAGTGGCAATCCAGCTCGGCCACGACGAAAAGCTCGTCGGATCAGTAGGAGGAGGAGGAAGAGGAGAGAGACGACGAGTCAGTTATGTGAACTCTCTCTCTCCTCGTCAGATGGACACTCTCACCGCTCTCTGTGACACTTTCTTGCCCTCCATTGCTCAGCCTCATCATCCTTCCGACACCGCCTCCGGTGGCAACAGTGATGGGGACGAGGAGGTTGCTAAGTTTTATCAAACTTCAGCTTCCATGGCCGGAACTCCGGAGAAGGTAACTTGATTTTATGCAAATTTTGCTTTTCTTGTAGGCAAATGATTGGCCAATGTTGCGTCGCAGTATTTACTTACTAAACCAGACAGTTTGTGTAAATAGTCCGACAACATTAGACATTCGTTTGGTTTTTTTTCCCCATCGAGAAGGCATGCCATGTTTACTTTTTGGTTGAGAATGAATGGGGTTTTGGTCAATCACTGTTCTTGCACCTCCAAAATGAGGCATCCATGTTAGTACATCCTTCATTCGAGCTGTGGCCTTTCTCTGGAATTAAAATATTAAGCCAATTTTTGTGAAAATCTTGTGAGATTGATAACAATGTGTATCAAATGCACGCTCATCATCATCTCTGCTTTTGTTTCCTCTTCTTTTAGGCCAAAACACAACATCCTTCATTCTCTTCTCTTAAATTGCGTTATAAGATGCAGAAGAAGACCCTAATGAATACGCAGTCCAAAATCAAAATCTGAAATCTTCGTACTTACACCTTTTTTCTTTCTCGGGCTGTGCTTTCCTTCGTTCCGGGTCGACGGTCGGTGGAAACTTTCTCCCTCCAACCATTCTTCTGATCGGTGTGTTACCTATATGGTTTCCTCCGACTAGGAATGGATGAAAGAATAGGCCTTTGTATTCACGTTAAGTGTTTATAAGCAAAACAAAATAAAACCCAAACAACCATCGGCTTTGATATCCTAGCCTAAATGTAGGGTTTGTTTTTTCTTTTTGCTGTTCATGCAGCTAGGGGGGCTCATCAGTGAGAGGATGAAACACCCAAAGCTATGGATGCTCCGTCTCGCCTTGTGGTTCCTCTCGACATGCATCGGAACCTTCATATTGTGCGGCCGGAAATGCTTCTCAAGCCACTTCCCGTACGTGCAGAGATTCTCCGAGATTCCGCAGCGGCGAAGGGAGGAGATCGTGAGGCGGTGGTCTCGCAGCGTCTTCCCTCTGCTCCGGATATTCGCGCGTGCCCTCAAGCTTCTCACCCTCCTCGTCTTCTTCACTCAGGTTCGTACGCTTTCTGAATCCACATTCTTTTCACCTTGAATTGGGAGGGTTCAAATGGAGGAAAGCTTTCCAAAACTGGCCCCAGCACTTAATGCATCGAGTCGTGTCATTCTATCTGAAAGATGAGAGAAGTGGTTGAGTTGGTTCAATGACGGGACTGTCCTCATCATGAATATTAAAACCCTAGATATGATTAAGAAACCGTAACACTATACTTTTGCCTTAAGATATAATGCTAATCTACCCATCAACCGCAACTACAAGGTGAAAACTCGTTGAAAGTTGGAGTGAGGTTTCATAATCTAATAAGCGACACAAAGGTATATCATTGATTAATGCTTTGCGATTTGTATGGCTAATCAAATGAGCATTTTGAACTCGAAGACACCAAGAACATTTTCTTTTTCGAGTGAGATATTTTGTTCATATTGTTAAAAAAATAGATGTAAGGTGTGACGAAGAGAGAAGCTACCTGTCACCTTCATCGCCACGCTGAGCTGCATGCATGCACGCGTGCCACGTGCAGTTTGATGATGTATTTATCGGTATTGTTACCAGTTGAACAATTAAATAACTTAGGGCGTTTAAACCCTAGCAGGCTAGCACAAGGCGCTTATAACGAAGCATAAAGCTTCTGTGCTCTTCTTCTTAAATCGATGACCATTTGATGTCTGGACCAAAAACAAAGATATGACATAGCCCATGTCACGATGTTGACAAGTGTTTTGAGAGTATTATAAATAAAAGATTCAATATAAGTAATAATATTTGTTTTATAAAGCATTTATTACTTGCAAAGAAATATATGAAAATAAAATCAATTAGGTTATCTCAACGAAGACTTTTGCAAGAAATTTTTGCACAAATCCATTCAAAATTAAAATCACGAGGTATTGATAAGTACGAGCTATGTTATTCCTGGTGCGACAAGAGCTGAATATTTTTCCCATTGACAATGCTGGGAATATGAAAGTGAATTTATAAAACTAATATGCTAAGTGATATGATATATTTGTTCTTGTTAACTCTCGAATATGATCAATTTATTGAACTTAGCATTGCTCTTTTCCAATTTAATCTTTTTTTTCTTTTTCCGGCCATTGGTTTCCTATTTGTTTCTGTAACCTCACCTGTGTTCTGGAAACTGGTGGTGAAGCCGATCGGCTGGCGCAACACAGATTACTTGTTTGATCAACTAGCTATATTTATTTACATATAGGATGTGGCAAAAACACAAAAAATAACTATGTAGTTATATTTTGAACACATTAAATATTTAAAAAAATGATTACATTAGATCCGGTCCATAAGAGTTTATTGATAGTTACATTTTCACCTACTAGAACCCCTTCTGAAAAATATGTCGAATTATTCAATTTCAAAAAGAAACGACTAAACCTAGTTTAACTTGTAATTTTAGTCAATTATGTTTCCGTGAAAAAAAAAAGGAAAAGGAATCATCCTTCCACTCATCATTTAATTATTAATCAAGCAACGAGTAAAACAAAAGTTTATAAGCTAAATCGACTGTCTCGGAAATTAATCTCGCGCAGGAGATTATAGGGGGATGGCAAGATATGAATTCGGTCCATTCCAATTAATAAGGTGGGCTCTATCGTTTAATATAGAATAGGTGGGAAGTTGGTCGACAAGAGTAGATACACTTTAGGAGATGGAATCATGAATGGTCGGATAATGTTATCTGTCATCTCCAGAGTACGTAACAAGAGCATTGAAATCGATCGAGACTGTATAGTTAAAAAAAAGTTGGATTAGAACTAGGAGACGTGACATGGGAGCATTTTTTCTTGTCGAGGTGTCCATACCCATCAGCTTCACCAATAAATGCTCAAAACTGCAGATAATACTTGCTTCACCACGACTATTATAAACAGCTCATCGAATTTTTAGGAGAAAAACAGTGCTATACATAGTTTAAACATGTGGTACGTTTTAGGTATTATCATCCTTAATCGGTCGAAATTTTTTTGCTTGTATTTCCTTAACATAGAATGGTAACATATCATGAAAATCAGAACAACTTGATCCATATAGTGCGTGTTTCATACGTGTGGATGGCAATGATAAATTGTATTAATCAACCGCCACTTAATTTAAAAGGTTAAATCGTAAGGTGAAGTCTCGCTTTGATATACAAAATGTCATGAAGTTTTGAGCCGGCTCGAATCAGGTGTCCACACAATTTATGCCTCAGCCAGAGTAGCTCGTTGGACGAGAATGAGACCCTTCAATAAATTGGGAATTTTAAATCGAGAGTTCTATAGCTGGAGACACCAAAATGTTCAGACCCATCATCTGAGAACTCTGAAGAATTTATATCCCTCCGGGGAACAAAAAACTTAATGACTTACCATAAATGTTTCGGCTACAATTATGCAAGAGAGGGATGGGACTCGCACTCAATAAATTCATTAAAAAAACACAGGAAATTTTTTTTTATCTTATATAATGATTTTGAGTTGCATCCTTCTGTTTTTTAAGCACACGTCCATTATAATAGTCCCGGTTGCTGTTGGTCCCTATCAGTCAGTCAGATTGCCCATATGGCACATCCAAGGCTTTAATGGGGAATTTACCAAGGTCAAATCTATTAAATTTAGAAAATATTGTCCAAAAAGTCATAAACTTATTCTACTTTTGTCAATTCAGTCATAAACCTTTTAAGTTTGACAATTCAGTCCTAAACTTTTTCGCTTCTTGCAAATTGAATCTATCCGATCAATTTTGATCGGCCGGCGCTGACGAGGCCGCAGACAATCCGGCCAACGCTGACGTGACAATTTTTAAAGATATTTTTTTTGAATTTTTAATCTTTTTTTTTCTGCCCTTCTTCTCTCTGACCGGTCCGGCGAGGTTGACCTCGCCGGCCTCTGGAGAAACTCGCCCCCACCGACCACTAGCAAGGGCGAGGCTGGCCCAGCCATGGCGAGGTGACCTGCGACGGCACTGGCCGGCCTCGCCTTGGCTGGGCGAGGCTCGACCTCACCCAGATCTGGCGAAATTGAGCCTCGACCAGCCATGGCGAGGCCAACCTAGCCGTCGCTAGGCGAGGTGAAACCCAGCGACGACGGTCGGCCTCACCTTGGCTAGGCGAGGTCGACTTGGCAACGGCGGGAGAGGCTCGCCCTTGCCAATGGCCGTTGGGGGCGAGCTTCACTAGAGGCCGGTGAGGTCGACCTCGTCGGCCCCCGCCTATGGTCGGTCGTCGGACCGGCCAGAGGGAAGAAGGGCAAGAAAAAATAATTTGCCACATCAGCGTTGGCCGGACGACCGGCAGCCACGTCAACGCCGGCCGACCAAAATTGGATAGATGGACTCAATTGGCAAGAAGTGAAAATATTTAGGACTGAATTAACAAAAAGTGAAAATGTTTAGGACTGAATTGACAAACTTAAAAGGTTTATGAGTTAATTGGCAAAAGTGCAATACGTTTATGACTTTTTAGATAATTTTCCCATTAAATTTAGCTCCCCACTTGCTCTATCTCAACAAATGTTTTTGGTACATTTTATCTCAACAAATTGAATGCTTGAAAGTACAAAGTAGTAACACTTACATGACGGTGAAATTATTTATAGAAAAAAATAAAGTATATAGTGATTTTACGAGTCGTACGGTGAATATTATCTCTTAATTTAATATGATGGACATAATCAATCATAATAGCAGGAAAATGTAGCGGCATGGAAGCAAATGTTAATTTCTAGTGATGATTCGAATTGCGGGCAACCCATTTTCCGCTCACTCCTACGTGATTTGATCCAGTACAATAAATTAGCTGTAAAATAGGAAGATGGGTGTGTTTTGTCCCTCCTTTGAATGAACAATGGAGAGATTTTTTCTTCAGTGCTAATCATTCTTTCTAATCTGTGGGAATGAGGTTCTACGAGAATGATAAGTTTCAATTTGTTTTCAGGTCGATGAGAAGGATCGCAACCTTTCCTGGAGAGCGATCGGCTATGCTGGACCAGATCCAGAGTTCAAAAACTCCAAGAAATTAAAGCATACGTCTTGCCAAATCTCAGCAGATGAACAGCAAGACCAAGAACAAGCGACAGCCAAGAATGGTTATGAAGATGAAGCCGTCTTTGGACCTCTACATCGAGGTTTAATCCACATGGAGCACCCGCGAGACATCGTCGCGAATAGTCTCCAACAGTCCGGGTTCCCCGTCCTCATTTGTCCCTCGAATGATAATCTACAGAAGCGTTGTTTCCCATCTTTGAGCATCCAGTGCGATGCAGTGGTGATCGGTTCGGGCGCAGGCGGCGGGGTTGTCGCTGGCGTGCTTGCAAAGGCGGGCCACAAGGTGCTTGTCCTGGAAAAGGGAAGCTACTGTGCCAGGAGTAATCTCTCCCTGCTCGAAGGGCTGACCATGGATCAAATGTACCTCTCCGGTGGGCTCATAGCAACCGAAGATATGAGCACGGTGGTGCTCGCAGGTTCCACTGTTGGAGGGGGATCCACAATCAACTGGTCCGCCTCCATTAGGACACCACAGCATGTGATGAACGAGTGGTCGAGCAAGTATGATCTAGAGCTGTTCGACAGCAAGTTGTACCAGGAGGCGTTGGATGTTGTCTGCAAGAGAATGGGAGTTCAGTCGGGAATCAGCGAAGAAGGGTTCAACAATGCAGTGCTACGAAAAGGGTGTCATGAATTGGGCTATCCTGTGAGCAACATTCCTAGGAACTCACCCGCGGATCACTATTGCGGTTGGTGTTGCTTGGGCTGCAAGGATGGGAAGAAAAAGGGCACCGCGGAGACATGGTTGGTCGACTTAGTGGAATCCGGGAACGGGGCGATTCTCCCCGGATGCGAAGCCATCGAGGTCCTGCACACAAGGCGGATCAGAAGAGAGAGGGACACAGCGACTGGGGTCGCATTCGAGTTCGAGCATAACGGGATCAAGGAGGTCTGCATCATCGAATCCAAGGTCACCATTGTGGCATGCGGGGCTCTTAGTACACCGGCTTTGCTAAAGAGAAGCGGCCTAAAAAATCCCAATATCGGGAAGAACTTGCATCTCCATCCGGTGACCATGGCGTGGGGCTACTTCCCAGACACTAAGACGGCAGATCTGTGGCCGGAGAAGGAGAAGAAGAGCTATGAAGGAGGCATAATGACGGCAATGTCCACAGTTGTTGGGAATTTTGACAATTCCGGGTATGGCGCGGTGATCCAGACCCCATCTTTGCACCCGGGCATGTTTTCGGTACTAATGCCCTGGACGTCTGGCCTAGACATGAAAGAAAGGATGACCAAGTTCTCGAGGACAGCCCACCTATTCGCGCTTGCTAGGGATAAAGGGTTGGGGATGATCACAACGTCGAACTTCATTAGTTACAAGATAGATGACGGCGATGAGCAGAATCTGCAGAAGGGGCTCGAGAAGGTGCTGAGGATACTGGCAGCAGCCGGCGCCGAAGAGATTGGGACGCACCACAGCGGTGGGAAAACACTGAACGTGAAGCGAGCGAGCTACCATGAGTTCGAGCGGTTCGTGAAGGAAGAGAGCGCGAGGCCAATAAACGGCCTGTCAACACCGATATGCTCTGCCCACCAGATGGGCAGCTGTCGGATGGGGCCCAACCCAAGGAGCTCGGCAGTGAACCCAATGGGCGAGACGTGGGAAGTGGAAGGGCTGTATGTGGCCGATACCAGCGTTTTTCCGACGGCTCTGGGGGTGAATCCAATGGTCACCGTCCAGGCGATTGCGTATTGCACTGCACAATCGGTGCTCGAAACTCTCAGGAGGAAGAAGAGCAGACAGTGATTGTGATATACATAGTCGCATTCTTCTTTTTTTCTCTTGCTTTCCAGTTTCACCTCTTATCGCAATAAAGCTTTTGGTGTGCTACAACAGCAAATGAATTGTGAAAGATTGCCTTGCTTTCTTTCGCTATTTTCTGCTTATTCAACCAACCAAAACTCCCTGTAATTTGTCAGCCTAAATTAATTAAATCTAGCATAATAACTCCCGGCATCGTTGCAGATGGATTCCTAAAACAAAAGAATGCAACCTGTCGTTTAGGATAGCAAAGTTAGAGTATCCAAAGACACGAAAGCATAATTTTGATCCATAATGAAAACGAAGCAGAAAAGAAACTCCCATATTTTGTGTACATAATTTGATCGGAGGTTTTTTCTTACTTACTCGGATAACTGTCATTTGCTAGTATGAGATTGGAACGTCACAGTGGCTTAAAGGGACCACCGTTAGGCTGATCCGAGTAAACAAAGGCCTGTTGTATATCCAGAATTGCAGCTTCTGCAATGCAGACATTGCCATCATCCGAGTCCTGACACAGATTTCCGTCACTTTCAGATATTAGAAGTTCAGCCATTCTCAGATATCAGGAAAACAAGAAACCTCAAACCAAAACTTTACAGTTAAGTCAACCGGAGATCAAACTTAAAATCAAGCAGCTTCTTTTTCAGCTTCATTTTCTAAGTTACACACCAAAAAATGTGCATATTTTAGACCGTGAACTCAACAGCTAGAACTTGTTCAGTTCTTCTGAGACCACCCATTGACAAAGGTGTCCAATTTACTTGCTGTGCCTTGTCTGGTAAGTTTCTTTGCTTAAGCAAAAAAGAAGAAAAGGCAAAGTCTAGCAAGTTTGTTCATTTTATCGGCATGTAGGTCAGGCACAATTAAAAGATTCGCCAGTTTTTTATGGCATGTACTTACTTCTATTTCGAGTTTAGCATGGTCTTTTGGGCTATACTTCTGTGATATCGAATGTCTTTCTATACATATGTAGGTCAGGCAGAATTAAACGTTCTTCAATGTTTGAAGGCTATCGCCATTTGAGTCTAATGAACACTTTTGAAGGGTATTTGGAACAAGCATGATGCAGGACTCCACAGTAAAACATTAACACTTGCTATCCTTCCTGTCATACTATGAAAATCATATTGTGGTCTAACAGTTCAACGGTTGAACTCTCAACTTTAACAGGATTATATGATTACGGTTCACCTAAATGTTCACGATCCGACCCAGCCACGCTGGTTTCATCTACAGAAACTGTTTGATTTTGCAGGTCAAGGGGGTCGAATAAATCAAATCATGTCTATCTCTCCTCTCTCTGTCTCTGTACTTCGCAGTTCATATTTCTCTCAGCGGATCATGTCACCATGTTGTGCAAGGACTTTAGCCTCATAAAACAGTCTCAAAGATCAGTACCCATATTTCCAATTTGCACATGTTTTGGTGTGCCCTGATGGAATGCAATTCTCTAGCCGCATTGCCATCATCCATTCTGCTTCTGGGCGATTCCAACGAGCACGAAAGGCTGTTCCGTGGTATTCCGACCATGTGCTCGAGCATTTTGCTACCTGGTAGGTGTGGCCCGGCTCTGGTACCTGCTTGTTGATGCACCCGATGCAAGCATAATACTCAATCAAAAGGAGAGAATCGAGAAGGTGAGTCTCTCGCTTGGGCAACACTCTCCTAGTGAAGTCATGAAGGTTCAGACCATGTCTGAGCGCAGTTGTCTGTCGGCCTCTTCCCCGTGAACATTTCGAGCAGGAGCATCCCGAAACTAAACGAGTCTGCCTACGTGGTCGCTTCATTTCCCATGCCATACTCTGTAATTACACAATCCGGCTAGCGAAAACTGATTGCCAAAGTAGCCAAGATCATCACTATTGGAAAAGCTTTGGTTGAGTGATATATAATGCCGATGGATAAAGAGAAGAAACTCTAACGATCCGGTCCAGTAAGGGCGGGGAGTGGTCACAGGAGCAAAAGAGCTTGAATAAAGAGTGGCTCCTGACTTTTAGGATGGCAAAGGGCTAAGAATGAATTGAATTGCACACTGAATAGGGAGAGAGCCTGCCTAGGACATTTTTACTTATGAAGGCGCATTTTGACGTAATGGCAAGTGGGATGAATGATCTACTGGGAAAGTGCTTGTATGCCAAAAGGCCAAAATCGTGAGATGGATAATCTTTCGAGTGAGTTAATTCAGGTATGTCACATCACGGAAACAATCACGATATCACTTCAATTAAGAGTAACATTAGAAAATAGCTAATGGTTCCCCTCGATTTAAACGTGTCGGAGTTATTTGATTCGTTCAATAAATATATCATGTTTGTATTAGATTTGAATTGTTTATAACAAAATCATGGCGCAAAAACGAAATTGATAAATTTTTCATTGTTAATCTGATGAATTGTAGTAAGGGAAAATAACACAAATAGTCCCTGAACTTTGACTCAATGTGTAATGTGATTCATAAACTTTTATTTTATTCAGTGTAGTCCATGAACTTTAATCTAATGTGTAATGTTATCCTTGAACTTTTAATATGTTCAAAGCGGTTCTTAAACTTTTTATACATGTTCAATTTAGTCCATGAACTATTTAATACATAGAAGGATCTAGATTAAACATTTACTAAAAGTTTAGGGACAACAATGAATATATTAAAAATTCATGACCACATTAAACAAATTAAAATTTCAGAAACGATATTGCACATCTGGCCAAAGTTTATGGACTATTTGTGTAATTATCCCCCGTAGTATTATCGTAAAAAGAAAGAGAATAGGAGGAAAAAAGAGTTAATATCACGAAAAATCTCAAACTGGTACACCTGTGACAAATTTATCACAAACTACTTTTTTTATCACGAAAAACCCCAAACCGGTACACATGTGATAAATTTATCCAAAACTAATTTTTTGACCACAAAAAAGGCCAAACCGGTATATTTGTCATAAATTTACCTTCCATTAAATTGAATTAATACCATGAAAAATGTACACATGTGACAAATGGATGCTAAAATCCCAAACTGGTATACTCGTCAACTGTCACGTGTCATCCAACTCAGAAATCCGATAGTAAAATTTACGGAAACTAAAGGAGGGTAAAATTATCGTAAATGTATCAATTTGGGATTTTTGATTATCAAAAAATAAATTTTTGATAAATTTATCACGGGTGTATCAGTTCGGGATTTTTTGTGATATTAACTCAAAAAAAAAAACTAACATTTGCCAATTGCGCTCCCCTAAGAAGCGCCCTTACTTCAGTGGCGCGCATTACCGTTGTTTGGTAGACCTCGGAGAAAAAACACGAGGAGGAACATGTTTGTCCGACCGTTTTCCTAAGTGGGTCTCGTGCGAATGTTTCTTGTTTCGTGGTATCTATCCACGCTCTTTGTGAACTCACCTGCATATATTGTTGAACAGCCCATCTCAGTCGAAATCATTGACCAGCGAGCCATGGTTTATGGGTCGCCGGGGCTTGTTCCTGAGTCCGTTCCTTTTGAAGGTTCTCGCTCGGTCTGCACGAGCACGGCTGTCTGAACGCACCTGCTCGCCGTTCGATCTTGGAGTCTCCAACTTTCGTCCGTGCGAAGCGAAGGCAGCGGTCATAGAAGCGAAGAAGGCTGCTGCTGCTGAGAGAACATTGACTAACTTGTGTTTGAGGACTGGACTCGCGCGCTCAGTTCCTGACAATGTTAGTTTCATCCGCAAATATGATTTGCCACCCGGAATCCGTGCTTCTCCCGTGCTTAAATCTCGCCGTGCGTTGGTGCAATCTGTCAGTTTCTCCTCCGTCCGTGTCCCGTTCGACGAAATGGCTGACCGAGAGTGGCATTCGCGAGATGGCCGCTTTCGCCGAGTTCTTGGCTTCGTCAAAACGTCCGCCGTGGGAGGTGACAAAGAAGGTGTCCCAATTGCCCACTGTTCGGCCCTCAAGATCGGGGCTCTCGCTCACTTGCCCATCGCAACCTCTCTGCTCATGGCCTACTCAAGGGCTGCGGACCCGAGTGCTTTACGCGCTTTGTTTGATGAAATTCCCGATAAAGATGCGATCGCTTGGAATGCGATGATCACTTCCTTGGCTGACAACCAGTGGTTTGGTCGGGCTCTGGATCTATTTGCTGAGATGATGGAAAGTGGAATTGGTTTTGATTCCACTTCTCTTTTAATAGTTTCGTCAATATTCACGCGCACGAATCAGTTGATTCAGGGTCGTGTCGTTCACAGTTTAAGCATGAAGTCAGGGACGCTATCCGATTATTCGCTGTGTAATGCACTTATGGATATGTATGCAAAATGTGGTGATCTAAGCTCATCAGAGAGCATTTTCGCCGGTATCGGTTATAGAGATGATATTGCTTGGAATTCGATACTCAGTGGATGTCTTCACAACAACAATCCTAAAAGGTGCCTACTCTACTTTAGAGAGAGAGCACTGTATGATGAAATGGGGGACAGTATAAGTCTCTCGTGTGCTATTTCAGCTGCAGCTTCATTGGGAGAACTAAGTTGTGGTAGTACTTTGCACGCTTTGGCAATCAAAAATGGTTACGACAAAAGCCCCTGCATTTCAGTTTCCAACTCTCTTATTGCATTCTATTTTCAGTGCGGACACATTGAGGATGCCGAGGCTATGTTTAGAGGAGCAATGACTCTCCATGATGTCGTTTCTTGGAACACAATAATTGACGGTTGTGCCTCAAACGGAATGATTCTGGAAGCTTTTGATCTTCTTCATGAAATGCAATCAACAGCATCCGTCCAGCCTGATTCAGTGACTCTTCTTACTCTAATTTCAGTTTGTGCAGATGCAGTACTACTGATAGAGGGAAAAGCACTTCATGGCTACATTACGCGCAGAGGGATGGGACTTGATCCGCAGGTGACCAACAGTCTTCTGAATATGTATTTGAGATGCAGTGCTGTGAGGAAAGCTGAGATTTTGTTTGATTCCACTGCGGAGAGAGATTTGATCTCATGGAACACAATGATCGCTGGGTATTCCCAGAATGACCTATCTGAGAAAGCTCAAAGTTTATTAAAAAAAATGCTTCTATGGTGCTCAGGATGCAGCTTACCTACT